CGCTGTGAATGTTTTTATACCTGATTGAAATTATTTCCACTTGCTGTGGGCTGAAATTTCAGCCCAACTTTTTTGTAGCAAGTGAGCAGGTTGCTGGCTCCTGTTTGTGGGAAATGGCCTTTAAAATGCAGGGACTCTAAGCGGTGGAAGAGAGGAGGGGGAAACCCAGGCGTGTTTTACTGCTGGTGAGCCTCATAGAGTGGTTCTCATGTGCTTTGGTTCTGCTTTGCTATTAAAACACAACGTGCTGCAAGGACATCCAGATTAATTGTGTTTTTCACTGTGTGTACCTGGAAAAGGAGGTTGCTGCTTGACCTCCCGAGACCTACCAGGCTGGAGCTCCCCTCCTGCGTGGCCGAGAAGTTTTTCTGGGACAAGAAGGCCCGGAGGCCAGCTGCCACTTTCTGATCCTCCTCCAAGTGCCAGTCCCTCTCTGTGCTGCCCCTGGTCCAGCTCTTTCTTGTGTCCTCTTCCCCATTAATCCCTAACAGTGCTGTACTTACCCTGATTTCAGGTTTGTCTCTAGGGGCAATGGACATTTGGCACCAGGTACATCAGCTCTAGGCACGTAGTTTGTGACCATTTCAGTAGTAGGGCAGTAAGTGGGTTTGGATTCATCATTAGCAGCATGTGGACAATATGGAGTAATTATCCATGTGGCCCTTCATGAACTCTGTGGTTCACAAACTACCCAAACTCTGCCAAAAGCTGCACCTGCTTGGTGCAAGTGTTGGGTAAGGATGAAACTCTCTGAGCTGCAACCTGAAAGTGTTGATGTGGGATCTGGGTATGGGGAGCAACGAACAAGTTACCTTCTGCTTGAGGGTGTGGGTTGGGAGTACCTTGGTGTTCCTTCTTGGGCTTCCCATGACCTTGTTTGATGAAAAATGGTTGAGGATGAGCCCTGCTGCATGCACGCTGGATGGCACGTCTGGTGGGTGCTCCGGCCCAGCCACTGAGGCTCTTCAAGTCTGACCGACGCTACGGTGCAACTGCCCCACCATTTGGGGAAGGACGTGGCCCTGGAGCTCTTGTCAGCAGAGCAGGATCAGCTGAAACTCCCCAAAAGGGCTTTATGGGTGTTCTGATGTAACGCTGCGTTTTCGACGTGCCGTGATGCACAGCCTAGTTTGATGAGGTCATGCTCGCATCACTCCGAGCGGTCCGGCTGCGATTTCTCGGGGTGCTTTGGGAGCACCCTATCCACCCACGCCATCCAGGAGCATGCTGCCGAGCAGCTGGCGATTCGCATCGGGGCCAGGCTGCTGCCGGCCTTCATCTTCTCTCCCCTTCCCAAAAGAGGCAGCGGGATGGACACAAAGGTCCTGTGTGGGTGGAAAAGGGAAGTGATTGCCAGAGCAAACTGTGGTCTGTCAGCTGGTGGGGATTGGGATGGCAGGTACAGGGCGTCCTTACCAGGCTGTGCTGGCAGCTGTTTGTGGGACAGAGCTGACCTTACTTGTCTTCCACTTAACGCGCTCTTACAGCATGACCTGCATGGA